ACTATTTACCCCTATGAGAAGCGATCGGTATGATATCAATTAAAATAATCTGGATCAAATTTTGTCACTAGTTTAACAAATCTTTACATTAATGTCCATAAACCTTCAAAAATTTAAGTTTAAATTGTTCATAGTAATTAATTTTTATATTTATATATCAAAATTACTCATAATTCTTTATCAATATAAAATTCATAATGTTACAATCTCCCTCATTTGGGGCGTTACAAGGGATATAATAGTAAAAAAATATAATATTAATTATTTAAGATATGACAATATTTTCACTTATTTTTAATAGTTAAATAAAAATAAAATTTTAATAATTTATATAATAATAACAAATAATGATGTGACTTGATAATTATACGTCTAATTATAAAAATATTTTAATATCAAAATATCTATTATAATCATCAAATAAATAAATCTCTAATTAAAACCCACGAAATCAATAATAACGATAGACGTTTTATATTTTAAAATATCTTAATTTCGGTAACCCCTTTTATTTGTATCAAATATCAAAGCATTTAAAAAGCTCATGTGACCAAAGTGGCAACTTAATCATTAGTTAAAAAGTAATTTATTTTAGGTGTGAAGTTCAATTCTCATTTTTTCCTGTATTTTTCTATTATGGTTGTGGTCGTTACTGCTCAAAAAAATAATTAATGGATTACACCCTTGTTTAGATTTAATATTTTTCATTAACAATTTTAATCTTACTAATCTCTAATATTAACAATTTTAATATTACTAACCTCTAACAATTACCTTTGTTCAAAAAAAAAAAATTATATCAAAGCTTTTAAAGTTATTATTGTTATTTTGCCCTTCTCATCGGTACCAATTCAATCACATCCTCCCCAAATACTTCTATTGGTACGCCTGTCTCCGCACTCCGACTGTCTCTATTTCCAGAACACCTGGCGTTAGACTATGTGTTGGATGTATGAGGTGAATATTAGGCGGCGAGAAGGATTTTTTTTTTTTTTTCACATTTTTTGATGTAGTGAAATTTTCATCCTTTTATCAAATTTAGTCAATTCAGTCAGGCACAGAAAAAAAAAAATCTTTCTACCATCTTATGATTAGATTCTACTTGTAGGGACGCAGTGCTAAGGTTGTGATATGATAGATTGATTTTTCAATATTGTCGATGTCGGCCACAGAATTAAGCGCAACAACAAATCTTTCAAA